AACCATCTCCTCAGCCGAGGTAAATGCCATTAAAGAATTAAAGAGGGACGAAGACATTGTGATTGTCCCAGCAGACAAAGGACGGGCAACCGTGATCCTGGACAAGTCAGAGTACGCAGCGAAAGCTCAGGAGCTACTCAACTATAACCAGTCATACAAGGTCATTGACTCCGACCCCATGAAAACACTGGTGGCAAAAGTCAACAAGAGTCTGAGTCTAATGAGGAACCAGCAGGCAATATCTGAGACCGATTGGCGACAGATGAAACCACAAGATGCTGCCATAGCACGCTTCTATGGTCTGCCAAAGATCCACAAACCAAACGTTCCCTTACGGCCAATTGTGGCGCTGAAGGGCACACCTACCTACGGTCTGGCTAAGTGGCTTACCAAACATCTGAAGAAGCTGACGGAGGGCTCAGAACACACAGCTGTATCCCCATCACACTTCCTGGAAAGACTCCGAGGCGTCAAAATAGCCCCCAACGAAATAATGGTGTCCTTCGATGTCATCTCTCTTTTCACCTCCATCCCTAAAGAATTAGCCACGAGGGTCATTAGTGACCTACTGGAGAGGAGGTACGATGAAGAGGAAAGACCTCTGAAAAGGAAGCACATAATGGAGCTACTGGACTACTGTTTGAGCACGTACTTCACGTTTAATGGCCAGGTGTACGAGCAAATCCAGGGAACTCCGATGGTATCACCAATCTCCGGCTACCTAGCTGAGGCGGTTCTACAAGAACTGGAAACACGGGTTTTTCAGTCCTACATGCCAAAATTCTGGATGCGCTATGTAGATGACACCTTTGTCATCCTACCTCAAGACATGAAAGAGACGTTCAGAAGCAAATTGAACTCAATTTTCCCCCAAATTCAATTCACAATGGAGGAAGAAAAGGACGGGGAAATCCCCTTTCTGGATGTCCAGGTGTCGAGACAGGAAGACGGAGCCCTCCAAACTGGTGTCTTTCGAAAGGCGACCGATACGGCGAAAATCCTCCATTACAACAGTAACCACCCCTTGTCACATAAACGCAGTTGCGTGCGGACACTCTTCCTACGCATCAACACACACTGCAGCACAGAGGCTGAAAAGCTGCGAGAGCGTAAATCCCTATGGCGTCTCTTTCTCTCCAATGGGTACCCACGCAGCTTCATAAACAAATGCCTGTATCAAAGGCACATGAAGACCGACGGTGAACAAAAACAAAAACCTGAATTCTTCCGTGCTTTGCCCTACGTGAGTGACGTTTCCGAAGCCACTGAACGCATGCTCAGACCACTCAACGTGGGCCTTGGACACCGGCCGGAGGTCACTATCCGCCGCTTACTCATGCAGCCCAAGGGGCGGCTACCACCTGAGGACACGTCAGGAATTGTTTACCGCGTCAACTGTCTAGACTGTCCGGCCAATTATTGTGGCATGACCGACAAACGATTAAGGTCGCGCATGCATGAGCATTCTCTAGCTGTAAAGCGAAAAGATGTACGATCACATGTTGCCATGCATAGCCTCGAAAATGACCAGCAATTCGGCTTCGACAAGGCAAAAGTAATCGGTCGAGCTGAAAGCAAAATGGCGAGAGAGATAATCGAAGCCTGGCAATCCAACGCCAACTCGATCAACCGTAGGATCGACCTACCGGCGCCATATGAGGCCGTCAGACACCACTTGAGCAGGAAGGGAGGACCAATGGGAAGAGAGAACAATGGACCTATCAGTACTGAGTAAGAAAGACCTATTTAAACTTTGTATTCCCACTTTTAATCTATCTCCGATGATGCGCTCAAGTATGAGTGTGAAACGTCAGATGAATAAATCATCCTCCCCAGAGATCTCTTTACCTTCTTCCATCTCAACACCTGGGGTCGGCATTTTCGCCTATATCCATATATATATATATATATATATATATATATATATATATATTTCAGAAATTGCTCGGGGCAGGACTTGGAGTTCAATCTCCGGGACATATATATAAGCAGTTCGCTAAGAGCGCGACAGGCCAGACGCAGGCAGCTATTTCACGGTAGTTACCCATCATTAGTTCACCACAGGTTTCATGAAGCGAGGTACATAAGCATGTCAAGCAAGTGCGTGACCTTCACCATTGTGGTTAGGACCTTGCTCGATCCCATTCTGTCCGTCCGCCAGATGCCTATTGGCAACAACGAACGTCGTGGCATAGGATACACACCACATATAGGCAGAATTGCATTACCGACAAAGACAAGGGAGACTGGAATGGCCATTTCTGGCTTAGTAGCCGTCGCCAGCCAGTCATACCCAACCCCGAAGTGTGGAACACCCGAGGCTCGAGGTCGCGACCTGTTAGTTAGAAGTACACGCCTCTAACCACTGGGCCACGAGCCCGTTGCCCTGTCAGTTTTCGATGGGGAATATACAATGGTAGGGGGCGCTGACCGATCGTTCTTACGGAACTCCTTCCGTTGTGCCTTATGGGCTCTCTCTCGAGCCCAACCAGCAGCCGCACAGCCGCACCACGTATAATACGTAAGCAGCTCACTAAGAGTGCAACGGACCAGACGTAGACAGCTCTTTCACGGTATGTGTCCTATTATTCAACGTTTTTGTTGTCGCCAGTAGCAAGTTGGCGGGCGAACAGAAAGGGATCGAGCAAGATCTTAGCCACAACAGTGAGGGTGACGCACTTACTTGATATGTGTGCGGCGGACGCTTATTGGCAAAATCGCCGAAGAGGTATTGATTCTTTAGGCACATTTGAAGTTTTGACTGTTTTTGTGCATTTACTCAAGTCTAACGACGACACAGGGAACAGATGTCGAAGATTTACTAATAAAGTCCTTACTTTTCCCAAAGAATCGACTATCCTCAAAACACATACAGTAGGTGGGCTAACTCATGAAATGTCAACCGGAACTCCAAAATGCCTTGTTTAATTTCCGAGGAAATTAATACGCGAACTAGGAGTAAATCTTTCGAAACGGGCCTTTTCAGGCACGCTCCAAATTTTGATATGAATATTTGAGCTGAAATCCATCAGCTACTGCGGAATAACCGCTTAATATTCACAAACCGCCAACAGGCAGCCAGTATTATAGATCTGTGCAATGATTTACCGTACTAACAACACGCGTGTCTGGGCTTTTAGCTAATACCTGTGTTGTTAGTACGGTAAATCATTGCACAGATCTACTCCGAAATGCGTTTTCGTTTCGAAAAGATTAATTAAGTAGGGTTGTAAAACTAGTCAACCTGCAACATAATTCTGTAATTATTCAGTTGCCCCAGGATACCGCCTTTGTAATGAACTTCCGTCCGGCTGCATGCAACAACTACACTCTGTAAAAAACGACTACTTAAGTAGCATGAATTCTTCTCAGTGATTTTGAATGCCCTTAAAAATTCAATTATATTTAATGGAAAAAGTGCATAAAATATTCCTTCTTTCGCTCATTTGGTAAACAATTAAGTCTTCTTCCAAGCTTATGCTCAAAGGAAGGGTATTATTCGGTTTTCAAAAACGTTTCCACTTCCCGAATAATTTTGAACCCGCTCTACTGTTACAATTGCATTCAGGGCTTCCAAACTACAAGCCGTATGTTTTCCGCGTACGGAAAACCGTACATTTCTCTACGGTACTAAAGGAAGACCATATAGGGTTCATAAAATTTAGCAGTGGATTTGATCCATATTGTTAACTTTACAAGCCATATTGGTAGATGCAGAGACATCACTTTTTATGAGCGACCATTTCACGATATTTAAAAGTCTTACAATAATGAACTTTTTTAAAACCGAATTATATTCCTCCTTCGAGTATAAAATTGGAAGAAGATGTAATTATTTACCGAATGAGTAAAAGAATGAGTATTTTTGAGCATGTTTTCCATGAACTATAATTGAATTTTTAAGGGCATCGAAAATCAATGAGAAAAATCCATGCTACTTAAGTAGTCGTTTTTTACAGAGTGTAGTTTTTGCATGCAGCCGGAAGGAAGTTCATTCGGAAGCTGGTATCATGAGGTAACTGAAATATTGTATAATTATGTTGAGGGGTGACTAGTTTTACAACCCTACTTAATTAATCTTTTCGAAACGAAAACGCATTTCGGAATTTCGGTTGACCTTTCATGAGTTAGCCCACTTACTGTACATCATCCAGGCCATCTTATAGAGACGAGCAACTATTCATCAAGAAGTGATACCGGCAAAGAATTGGGACGCTGGAATTGTCATTTCGGGCTCACCAACCCCCATCGGTCTGTGATAACCTAAAATCAGTTGTACCGGTGACTGCCCAAGTCAGCATTTAGTTGAGTTGCCGGGACTCTCATTCTGTTGATTGAACCGGATAATGCGTGATTTCACATAAAAGTCGGCTGAGCATTAGACATGACGCGCTCAGTGACCATTGGATGCATTTTCAATCCTCAGGTGCTGCAGCACCAGGGTTTGTCATATCGTCAGCCTTATTTCTCTGTGATTCGCTAGTTTCATACGCTGTCTTTTCCTCCTCGTACAGCCCTTGTCCTTATTCTGGAGTTCACACAAAATAGCAACGACTTCACCGACTTTTCCCTAGTTCTGATAAGAGCGCGTTTTGTTTCTTGAATCTTGTTTTGCTCCCGCTTCTGTTTCTTACCTTTACTCCACGACTCCACGCTTAGTCAGAACCCTAACGACCATAAAGGTTACTGAGAGCCAAACTGTTCGACGGTTTGTCTCACACTCTTAGAACATCGGAGTCAAGATCTTCCGGTAGTGCAGATAAACAAACAGCCGCCCGTTTGGCCTGTCCGTAGGCACAAGTCCAATCAGATAGGTAGGTGGGTTTCGACAGGTTTTGGACGGAGTTGATTGGCTATCAATAAACCAATAAAAAAGGTGGGGGTAGTGTGCTTTAGACGTAATAAAAGCTGCGTTGCAAGCTTGGCACGCGATCTGGCCTGTGTCGTCCTCGTGCTCCGTCTTAGTTCCGAGGTTAGACCATCCGCTCTTCGCTATTAAAATGGTAAGTTTTCGTTCAGGCCCAAATTCACCCTCCCGAAAATTATAGCGTGAATGCATCAGTATACATGTCGGTCAAGCCGGTGTCCAGATGGGCAATGCCTGTTGGGAACTCTACTGTCTCGAACATGGCATCCAACCAGACGGGCAAATGCCTAGCGATAAGACCATCGGAGGTGGTGATGATTCCTTCAACACCTTCTTCAGCGAGACTGGTTCGGGCAAGCACGTGCCACGTGCCGTTTTCGTTGATCTTGAGCCAACGGTCGTTGATGAAGTTCGCTGCGGAACCTACCGCCAACTCTTCCATCCTGAACAACTCATAACTGGCAAGGAAGACGCTGCTAATAACTACGCACGCGGCCACTACACCATCGGTAAGGAGATCGTAGATCTGGTGCTGGACAGAATTCGCAAACTGGCCGATCAATGCACCGGCCTCCAGGGCTTCTTGATCTTCCACTCCTTCGGTGGAGGTACTGGTTCAGGTTTCACCTCCCTTCTGATGGAACGTTTGAGCGTTGACTACGGCAAGAAGTCAAAATTGGAGTTCTCTGTCTATCCGGCTCCCCAAATCTCAACTGCTGTTGTTGAGCCTTACAACTCTATCTTGACTACGCATACAACACTGGAGCATTCGGACTGTGCCTTTATGGTTGACAATGAGGCAATTTATGATATATGCCGGTAGGTTGATGTGCATTTTGTCTGACGCGACTGTTTAGACGTAATTTAGATATTGAGCGTCCGACGTACACTAACCTGAATCGTCTGATTGGACAAATTGTGAGCTCAATCACTGCCTCGTTGCGTTTCGATGGTGCTCTGAACGTCGATCTGACTGAGTTCCAGACGAATCTGGTTCCATACCCACGCATTCATTTTCCGTTGGTCACGTATGCACCCGTAATTTCTGCCGAGAAAGCGTACCACGAGCAACTGAGTGTCGCCGAAATCACCAATGCATGCTTTGAGCCATCCAACCAGATGGTTAAATGTGACCCGAGGCATGGCAAGTACATGGCCTGCTGCATGCTTTACCGTGGCGACGTTGTCCCGAAGGATGTGAACGCTGCCATTGCGACAATCAAGACGAAGAGGACAATCCAGTTTGTGGATTGGTGTCCAACCGGTTTCAAGGTGGGCATCAACTACCAACCGCCGACTGTGGTGCCAGGTGGTGATTTGGCGAAGGTTCAGCGAGCCGTCTGTATGTTGAGCAACACGACGGCAATTGCGGAGGCCTGGGCACGTCTGGATCACAAGTTTGATCTGATGTACGCGAAGCGTGCCTTTGTGCATTGGTACGTCGGTGAGGGTATGGAGGAAGGAGAGTTTTCGGAGGCCCGTGAAGATCTGGCAGCCCTGGAGAAAGACTATGAGGAGGTTGGCGTTGACAGTGTGGAGGCCGAGGGTGAAGAAGAGGGCGAGGAGTATTAGACGTGTGCCCAGCATGCCACTCCTGGGCCCTTTGCTTGTTTTTCGAACAATTTCGCCCATAAATAAACGTTTTTCGTCAAGAAGTCTTTTATTATCCCCTCACCAGTCTCTTAGGCACCCGTTGTCATCGTAGTTTAGAGTTCGTTGAATGTTATGTGTGTAGCGGAATGTCGGTCAAATGTTAATTCTGACCTTTCCGTAAGGCTTACTAGGATAGGGTATTTGAGACGTTGCAATACGGAGCGAGGTTTCTAGGGTCCCTACGGAGGGTTTGTTCGTGTGGCCAGAAATTCGAAGTTTGATGCGTTCTTGCTGCCGTGGAAGTCGGTGAGTATTATTCTAGGAGAGCCTGTACCTCCCGGACACATTTGGCTCGTGTTTATTTGTTCGATGCTTTATTGCTAGTGAGCTTGCGTCCGCTTGTAGCATCTCCAGAAGGGCGTTCAGCTCCAAGCCCGTGCCAGGCTTATCCATCAGAAAGTAGGGGTGCCTAACTTACCGTCTATTTGTAACCAGTTAAACCAGTCAGTCATTGGCCTGTTCTACCGACATATGGGTGCGTACACCCTCATGGGCATTTGGGTGCCCGTTGAGGGGCTGCTACTAACGAATAATTGAAAATTCAGGCTCAAGAGTTTGTAAAAATTGCCGATTTCAAATTTAGCAATAGGCAGCAAAAGGTATCATCTAGTCTCAAACAGAGGTTCCTGAGGGTAGAGAAATGGTCCTTGGAAGGGAATTACGCGATTTCTACAGTGCCCTTTTTGATGTAATAAATTTTGACGCATTGGATTAAGCAACAGTAGTTGTATTTTTGTACCACCAGTTATCTATATTCCGGCTTCTAATCGTCTGAACTTAAAAGAATTACTTTAATTTTCTTGAGATTTAGCTAGCAAGACTAGAAAAAGGACGGCCCGGAAGTGAGCCTTGTTCACGTTTAGATGTTGCAGGAATCATCCTCAACTGGGTAATTGAGTTTGCTTTCCTGCATTCGCTTTTCGTGCGCAAGCTCTCGGGGGTAGAGAATAAATTATATCCTATCATTTAAGAGGAACTTCATTCATTTTCGTATACTTATCCATTCCCACTTAGTTAAGATTCGAGCCGCCGCTGTCAGTCGCGTGCGGATCGGACACGCGTGGCACGCGTAGACAGGTTGTTTAATTTTGTCAAACGCTGCACCGTATCACACCTGCGGTCTTCATGACTCTGTCTTGACACCGGGCTCAGCTGGGTGGGGGAAGAGAGAGTGTGATGGAAGTTGCGAAAGGCCACTATCACTATTACTTATTTCGCACGCAAGTCACCGTCCCTGCATCCACTCTGTTGTGGGGCCCACGGTCGACCTAGTCGCTCGCGACGGTCAAATTATCCTTTTGCCTCGCTGCGGTCGCCTAACAGTCGTGGCTCCGGCCACGTCCGAGCATTAATCCTGTCCAGCATCTAAGTGCTTTATTAGTAGTTAAATTAACCAGCTTTTCGGCCATCGGTTGAGCGTCATACTTGCCTTTGTTTACGCGAATGCGCGTGCCTTATTCACCGCTTTTCTTCGCGGAACGCTGATTGTCTAATTGACGTTATCCACCACATTGAAATGTTGGTACCGAATGAAGGGAAAAAGAAGTGAAATTTTCACTTCTGTTTTTGGACGACCTCCTTGAGGGTCGTCCTGACTTTGTCTTGCCATTGGAAAACGGGGAGGGGGGGAGGCGGGTATGGGAATTAGGGTGAAGTAGATGCCGAGCGAGTATAAGTAATTATGAAGACTTTCCAACAAGTTGCCTCCGCAGCAGCCACAGAACAGTGACTGACTCGATCGATCGCGACATTCAACTAACTAGATGAGTAGACAGGCAAAGTTGCCTGCTCTTTTTGGCGGCAGCAGGCACAACTCCTATCAGTCATGTTTGCATAAAATGCAACATGGTGTGAGAGAAAATTACTGTGCTGTAACCATTGCGACCTACCTTTTTATCTATGCACAGCTTTTACAGTTATTCCACTTTTAGGCATTTTCCAAACTTTCCCTTATTCATTTTGTCCAGATTAATGTTTATTGACCGTTATATGGTACACTTCTAACATGGTATGATTTTCGGTGTCATGATTTGACTCTTCTCCACTTATTGCCTTTGTTTCCTCTCGGGCGTCGGCGAAACCCAAATTCCTTCTGTTGTGTTAGTTAAACACGGCTAATTTCGACTTGCTGGTATCGTGGGATCAACCTATCGATCTCTGTTACTGGATAAAACTTCCGGTTGCCTCCAATCGCTGTATTGAACATTTGTGGGTGATCGATAGAAGTACAAAAGGAAGGTCAAAATCCAAAATGTATTCCACTTAAAGCCATAAAATAGGTATGTTCGGAAAGGCAAGGAACTGTAACAAAAAGGGGAAGTGGTCGGAGATATTTTACGCCACCGACACCGAAAGCGTTGTAGATCACTAGGGGCACGTTGCCAAAGTTGGAGGGAAAAAAATGTGAACAGAGACTGTGGGAAAACGATTACTGCGGTAATTTAAGTAAAACTGTTTGACGATAACAACTAACCCAAAAAATATGTTGAAATCTATGATGGAATGAACAATGTGCGGGCATCCTTCATATTTTAGACAAAAGTTCACTTTGTTTAGCTGGCGAAACAGCAGAACCTTTCTTGATGACAAATTCAGTGCTTAGCCTTTTACCGCCGCCTCTAGTGATCTCTTTTGACCTCCCAACAAGACGCCATCAGCAAGAAGCTGGAACACTGACGTATCTAACAATAAACGTCTTGGTACCCAGCTCCCATAACATACATACGTTGGGCCTCTGTCCATCCACAGTTTACACTTCCCACACCGACGCCAAGCCTTCGTCATGTGGGATACTTAGTGTTTTTTGGGTTCACAGCAGTCTCGGTGGAACAGTCATCCAAATCTACATACTTCTAGGTGTTCCCCATCAATCAGTTTCATGTATATGGTCCCTCGATTCGGTGCCTATAAATCCCGGCTGTTAATGAAGCCACTTTCCCAAGCGTGCGTCAAAAGTTGAGAACGGTCAGTTCATAATGATCTCGCTGTGGGCATAGGCTGATAAAGCCAGAGGCATCGCCTACCAGTCAATGGTAAAGGGACGTGCTTTTTTGATAGGACATGGCAATAGGAACCCCGCCGCGTAATGCAGGTGGCCTTGTGTTAAATTACAAGGAGATTAGGGTTAGAATTAAGTTTCGGGTCGGGATTAGGGCCAAGGTTTGTGTTAGGGTTAGAGTTAGGATTAGGACAGAAGAAGAAGAAGAGGAAGAAGAAGAAGAACATGCTTTATTTTGAAAGTATAATTCACAATCCCCGACAAAAATGGCTTTATTCATTTTGACAAGGCTACAAATTTACTAAGGATTCAAGAGTAAGTAGGTTCGCATAAAACTGGATATCTTTGACAGAGACAGTTCAAATATCAATTTCTGTATTTTATTTTCTTTAAACGTAAGGAATCGTACCAGAAACGGCAAAACAGAATGTTGGTATGCCGATGTACGGCAAGGGATGTGCCGAAAGCCTTGGCGCATGGAACTGGAGGACTTCGCAGCGACTACTTCAGAGTGACGAGGATGAAAAACCTCACCCAGAATTTGATTAGCTAATCGCCTGAACGTCGGGAAATGTCGCGGTATTATGATATCGAGTAAAAAAACATAAGAACTAGGAGCAGCAGCAGCGGCAGGAAAAAAGAGCATTCGGAGGACTCATTTTGAAATCGATATCTCTTTTTCGATCAAAGGTAACAGGTACCCCTCGTGGAATGTAGCGTAAGGCTACCTGTATTGGGGGGGCGGGGCGTCCTTGTTGCCGTGTTTTATCCTTTTGTTAAGGAGAGCATTAAGAGGTAGGATGAAGGGTGCATAAAGCAACAAAATGCCTGATCAGGTGTTGGGTAGTAGACAGCGAGAATGAGTCCTGAATCTACTTCACCATTTTTTACTCCTATTTAAGGGTGATTCAGCGTGAGCAGATCAGACAAAATTACGCACCAGATATCGCTAAAATATCGGAGGCCAATATCCAATCTGCCTGACTTTTGAGTGATGCAGCGGTGGGGAAGTGACGTAGCCAAAACAACCCTTATTGTAGATGGTTTGAAGGACCATTTCAGTGGGCTAGTTATAAGCCAGTCCAACCGCTTGAATTGTAATCGCAAATGTTAAGAGCAGATGACCGTGTAGCAAAAACTTGGACTCGTCAGGCTGTGTCCTCTTGATTTGCCGAAAGCGTGTTTTAGGAGACTCAGGACCAACGTTATTACCCGCACCCATTCTAACTCTGCCGGAGTCAATGCGCAAGGTCATGGCTATATAATTTCACGCCTTCGGTTCCTGCTTTGCATGGCGGTTTTAGCGCTAATTTGCATAGGTCCAACCATCCTGCTTGAAGTGACTCTGCATCAGCGTACCGGCTGCGCAATCCTGCCTTGGCAGGAGAGTTTGGTGAGCTTGCTGCGAAAATGCGAGCACGTGGGTGTTTTCTGGCTGGGCTTTCCCTCGCCAGTCGTTTGGCCGCCCCTAACGCGTGCATGCTCTACAGGAGTCAAAAGAACGACTGCGCGATTGGCATGCAGGACGCCAGCGCGTGGATCAATAGCAAACCCACCCCACCGGTCGCGCGCAAAAACTGCCGCTGCCCACGAGCACAGGTCGGGCGCAGCGTGGCAGAAACAACCAAAGGAGCAACTAAGTCAGGCAGAGGTGACTGGTAATCAGTCACGCAATAACTAACTTTCGACCTAGAACAGTACACCTCGGACATTTTCGCGCGGCACAATCGACGCGGCAGATTTTTACCGAGGCGGGCTAAGTAAAATTACAAAAGCAACGACAAAATGTTTGAATTGGCGGTGAATTATCTGCGTAACTGTGAAATGGGTAAATCTAACCCAACTCCGAGGCCGAAATAAATCGATTTTTGCTGTTGCGGTGGATTAAGTTATTTTTGAAAGCAATTCTACTCTTCATGCG